ACAGCATTCTTGCAGTTACTCAGATAAGCCAAAACAACTACACACTGTTATAATTCTTGGATGGAATTCTGAGTTATCTTCTAGGCTTTAGTTTCCCAATCAATACTTTACTGTTTTGTCAAGAAAATGCTCGTTTCCCTTCTTCACTTCCTTGTGATACACCCAGGCAGCCTACCAGTTCTATTCATTGCCAGGTTCTAAAAGTCAATATATGTCCCTCCAAATTCCAGTCAGTAAATTAAGCAAAACAATCTAATTGCCATCCTGAAGGCCTTCTATCTCTGTGAATCATACTAAAGTCAGAAAACACAAACACTAAGGCAGATAAATTGAGAGTCATCCTAATTCTTCATTCTCACCTCATATCCAAACTATCACTAAGCCCTACTGATGTTATCTCACATAGAACAAAAAATCCATTTCTGTCACATTCTCTATAGTTCTCCCAGTACATGGCACAGAGCCTGGAATAAAGCATGTGCTTAATAAAGTATGAATGAAGAAATAAATCAGATCTGGAAGATATAAAGGTTAGAAGGGAGATATCCAATCAAGTCACTTGGTATCAAAAATTCAACTTTTAAAACCTAAAAGTATCATCAATAAAAAACAGTTTGAAAATAAACCTGCTATTGATAGCAATGTAGTGAAGTTTCAGGGGAAAAAAAGACAAATTTCTCTTTTGCACTAAGAGGTGGTTGAATGAAAGGCAATGATTATACATGGCAAAATTAGAGATCCAATCAGAAAACAGAAACCACACAATAATTTGAACTTTCCAAGTGTAGCATAAAGAAAACAAACTATTCAAGGGGCTTGGAGTAATAGGGGTTGGCTAAGAAGAAATAACTCTAAAGATTATAGGAATGACAAATACAGTGAACATCCACTACCCCTAGTGCTGAGGAAAAGCCCCCCATGCCCCCAGGACTGAGATGCAGACTTTGTTGGAGGGCTTTGCCAGGGCTCACTGAATGGCAGAGAAGTAATTGTGGGGACTTGCCAGTGGATCTTCCCAGAAATCTCCCTTTGGGGTGATGGGAAAACTGTTCAATGGGAGGGCCTCCATTCTGAAATCAACTCAAGTGGGTGCGAGGGGAAGCTGCTGGCTACTGCTGACCACTATGCAGTACAAGAGCCAGCCACTGGAGGTGCTCACACAGCAAGAACAGGACAGAACCTGCTGAGAGCACACTGCACCCAGAAGAGAAACCCTTTCCTCCTGCAATGTCCCTCCCGTGCTGTCCACTGACAAAGCCTGATACTGTGCCAGCTGGCAAAAGAAAAATATTTAAGGGACCCAGCTCCACATCCAGAGAGCATGCATAAAGGGTGAATTCAGAACTAAAATTTTTAATAACTGGCACAGTCCACCCCTTTGACTACTCAGCTTCCGTATGTACTCTTCTACACGTTTGAACTCCCACACAATAAAAAAAAAAAAAATAGAAGCAGCGGTGGCTTTCCCAGGACCAGGAGCTGGCAGCACTGGCAGCTTCTCCAGCACTCATTCATAACTTACCATCCCTTTTCTAAGAACCAATCAGAAGAATGATACAAAGCTAACAACGGGAAACATCACAACTTCTTTCATAGTTCACGTTAGTGTCAGAGAGTTCTTCCTTTTATCTAATGCGAGTCCATCTTATACAAAGAAAAGTGTTTTTTGTTTTTTTTTTAAAGAACACTAACCGTGGCTAGAAGATCTTGGTTAAAATCCCAGGTTTATCACTTTTCATTGTAGTGCTCTTTACCCAAGGTTTCTCTGCCCCTGTAAAATGCGGAGAATATCTACCTCACAGAGTTGCTGTGGAGAGTAAAATCAATTAAGTGAAGACTAAATCAACTAACTTGTGTAAAACACTTAGAAGCTAACCTTACAGTAAATGTTAATAAAAAAGTCAGCAAGTGTTAACTGTTATTATTTTAGCTACAGAGATGGAGTTAGCTCATTTTCTGTCTCCCCACACTAGAATGAATGCACAATAAAGGCAGGGGGATTTGTCTGTTTTGTTCTCTGCCTTATCCCTACCACCTAAAACAGTTCCTGGCAAAAAATAGGTGCTCAAAAATATTTGTTTAATAAACAAACAAACCACTGATCACAAGCCCTTCTATACCAAAAGATCCTAATGGTAACTCTTCAAAGATCTAAAGTTGTGAAGACTTAACAGGTCAGTAACTGAGAAACAGTTAACAAGAAAAAAAAAATCATAGGAAAAAACGATGCCAACCTCTTCTTTAAGAAGACCAATATCAACAACATATTTCTTGAGTGTTTTAACTTGCTTGGCTCTGGCATTACCAGTTGTATGGCCTAGGAAAATCACTCCACTGGAACCTCAGTTTCCTCTTTTCAGGGGAAAAGAATAACTACCTCAAAGGACTGTTGAAACATTTTTTTTAATGATGTATATAACATCATCTAGGACAAAGTTTGTACTCTACTGAATTTAAATATCACCTAAATGCATCTTCTGGATTTTCAAGTTTGAGCACTACTCAACTAGCTTTCACTGTGCATTCAACCTATCTACGCTTAAACTGAAAAAGCTGTTCTAAAGGGGTTTCAGAAAAGAGATATGGCACAATTTAAGTTTCATCAGCATGGCAAATTCTGTAATCCCTCAAACTATTCTAAGAGTTTATGTGAAAAGAATACAGGATTGTGTTCTCTATCTTACGAAAGCAAAATAAAGCATCTAAGCTATAACTAACTTATATATACCCAATTTAACACAGAACTGAAAAGACCAACAAGTATCTGGCATTAGATTTAATGGTGAATATTTTGAAAAGTGACCCTACTGATAAGACAACCACATCATTTAGCAGAAGAGAAATAGTTTATTCACATTTTCACAATATTGACATCTAAATTTCTAGAACTTAACTTCATTAATTCCTCTTACTATTAATTTCCCAACACTGAAATAAACATCACGACAAAAATTACCACAAAATACAGGTAATAAGGGCACTACTATTAGAGATTTTCAGTGGTAACAATGCACACATTCTTATTATTTACTACTGGCAAGTAGCTCTTGGGAAAGCTCTGATTCATTCTTAAGTTACAGAGACAAATAACTTTATCATTGACTGAAAACAGAAAGTGGAGGGCCCGCCTGGTGGCACATACAGATTAAGTTCATGTGCTCCACTTCGACGGCCTGGGATTCGAAGGTTCAGATCCCGGGCACGGACCTACACACCGCTTGTCAAGCCATGCTTTGGCGGCATCCCATATAAAGTAGAGGAAGACGGGCACAAGACGTTAGCCCAGGGCCGATCTTCCTCAGCAAAAAGAGGAGGATTGGTAACAGATGTTAGCTCAGGGCTAATCTTCCTCACAAAAAAACAGAAAGTGGAGATATCTAATTTTTCTTGCAGTACTAGAGATCAATTAACTAGCAAAGTCTTTCTAAATTTCATAGCAGAGTTGAAATACTACCTTCGCTAAAAGTATTACAAAGTTATGAATGTTAAAACTAGAATAGATCTTATCTACTATAAGCACCACCAGTTTTACAGCAACCTAAGTCTCATTCTTGAGTCCTAGAGATTAGGTTTTCAAGATTTGTAGGCTCCAGTCACATAGTCAAGATCCCTGGTGTTCAAGGTCAGAACACCTGGCCCCAGATAGGTTAAGTGACTGCTTCCCACGCTCCCCGTCCCAAGAGAAACAGCTAGCCAGAGACGGTGCAGATTACAACCGGTGTCCCCGCTTTATGAAAAATCCTCACATCAGAAAAATCATTTGAAATACTGCTCTTCAATTTAGTATCAAGTGATCTAGAATATCATCTTTTTTTTTTTAAAGATACACTAGAGACCACAAGTTCCAGTTCTGCTCTCTTCTCATCACCTTTTTACAGCAGCATCTGGATCATGAAGGAGGAAGTGTGCGTAGTGGTTGTCCATAACACACCCTACTATTCATTTAAGCGTTGATCGGAAAACTTTCGGGAAAACCACTAGCAGCTTACAGAAGAGAAAAACACAAACTAACTTACTGACAGCTGGAATGATGAATCACCCAACTGAATTTAAAAAGAAACAAAAATACACCACTGACTATATTGTATCTTAAAGACTATTAAGTCTTTTTGTTAAAACTGTATCCTCCTTCTCCAGTTTTATAACAATCATTTTCTAACAAATTTTAATAAACCTGATAATGCATTTCAAACGAATGTTTGAGTTTAGACGAACTTAAGCATTCCTACGTGACAATACACTCTATACTTGGTAACTTGCTAGTTACCTGCAGTTAACAAATGTTTCATATGGTATGGTTTTTAAATGCTTTCAGTGAAACACTTTTAACATTTTTAACTCAGAAAAACTCTCCTTAAATAAGCAACACAAGTAGGAAAATGACCTTAAGCTTAACCTTAGACACAGATATAAATACGGCAAACGGAGAGAGGTCCATCACTACTCAGGATGCAGAAGAGTCTCCCCAAAATGGGCTGGAAGTGCAGGAAAGGCTCATAAACCTGAGGTGTACTGGACAAGTCAAGAGCGTTTCCTCATGTTTTCCGCATTCTGCAACCCTCGGTCGCTCAGTGGTGCGGCTGGGGCCATAACCTATAACCTTCATCCCAGAGAACCCCAGCATTTCTCCGTGGTGTGCAAACCCAACCGCTGGCAGAAAAAGGGCTGAAAGACAGGCCAGACACTGCCACTCGGGGACGTCGAACGTAGGGCAAGAAACCTTCCTTTTCCACTCCCAATCGAAATCGGAGCAATGGGCGTATTTGCGGAATGGATTTCTTAGGAAGGTCCCGTAACACAAAGGGCTGCGAGTCAGGAACCGGCCCCGAGCTGGGAGCAGGATGGAGCAGCCCCAGGCCGGCATCCGCGCAGCCCGCACCCAGCGCGGAGACGGCGCGCGACCGCGCAGCCCACACTCCGGAAGTATTCGGAGACCCCCAGCCGCCCGGCCAGGGCTGACGCTCTCCCCCACCCGTACGCCTGCGGCCCGAGCTCCTCACCCTGGTGATTGAACAGTCTCCAAATCCTGGTGAAGAGAATTCCCATTCTCGGGCAGCGGACCCCCCCTCCAGCCGCCCGGGCCGCCTGGCCGCCCCGGGCTCAGGCTGAAGGGGAGGAGAGAGACGCGCAGGAGCCTCCGCCTCTGCCGCTGCTGCTCCCGCGCTGGCCGCCGGCCCGCTTCCTAGGAGCCGGGGGGAGGCCGAAGCCCAGGCCGCCCTGCC